GTCAGGCCACTTCCTGACTTGAGAATGTGGACCAGTTACTAAGCTTCTCTGTGCTTTGTTTCCTTACTTGTTTTCTTTTTTTGAGACAAGAATTAATGTAGTCCAGGTTAGCTTTGTACATGCTGTATAACTAGGGTGCCCTTCAACTCCTGATGCTCTTGCCACCACCTCCCAAGTGCTGAGCAGTCCAGCAGTTTCTTATCTTGGACCTCGGATAAAGGATAAAGTATCTACCGCATAGGGTGGTTGTGAGGATCAAACGAGTTGGTATATAGCAAGTACTCAGTAAAGGTTGGCAGTTGTGGCTGCTGCTGTTAACTACGTGGTCTCTGGCATTTGCGTAGCCTTCAGTGGTACTCTAGTTTTAATCACCTCCCTCTCTGTTTCTGCACACACACACACACACACACACACATACACACACACACACACACACACCCATGTAGCTGCTATGACAGGCATGCACAGCTCTGACTAAATGTACAGCCAGTGAGCTATGGAGTACAGCGGAGGCCTCCAAAAACTTGGCTTGTAGAAAGCGGTGACGGAAGATACGACTCTGAGGTGTTAGAAAGAGTGACACGGGTTCTTTTGGACTTCTAAAAGTCTTCCCTGTAACACAAATAAAAAAATGACCCAGAGACTGAGATTGGGGTTCAGACTTCAAGCTGAATATCAGAAAAGCAAAGCAGCTGGCCACTAGCTCTCACCTCAAGCTCAGGCTGTAAGGCTGCTCCACGTGCCAGCTCGTCACCAAGTCTCAAACTGCTGCCTCTCCTCAGTGTGGATGGAGAATGAATCCTCTGAGACCTTGCTTCTGTCTGTCTTATATACTTCCCTAATGTTGGGATTAAAGGTCTGAGCTATAATTCTCTTTTAGACTGATTCACTCTTGTGGATTCCTGGGAGGCCTTGGACTCAGAGGTCCCTCGTCCACCTCTTATCTCTGAGTCCTAGGAATAAAGGTGTGTACCACCACCTTCTAACTTCTGGCTGCTGGATTAAAGGTGTGTGCTTGGCTTCTGTGGCTTGTGGCTGACTTTGCTTTCTGAATCCTCAGGCAAGCTTTAATAAATCATAAATAATATATCACTACACTTCCCTTTTTGTTTGTAGATTAGTGTATGGAACTTCAGAATGGCATTTTCCCACTGTCCATTTGGAGTACAATAAGACAAATTAATACAAATCAAAATAATATGGTAGCAGCATCACATAATTTGTGTATACTGGTGTAGGAACAGATTTAATTTAGTGCAGCTTTGGCGAAGTCTTTTGTATTTCAGTTTATACAGCTGCTATCCAGGGCGAGGCTGGCCAGTCACAGCCTTGAGCGTCTTGCAGAGAGAATCTTTTTTCTCCGGGTGACTGGCTGTGTTCACAGATGCTTCTTCCTTAGTTCTCCTTCATTTTTTTTTCTCAAAAAAAGGAGAAGGTATACACATAAGATGACTAGTAAGTCACAATAGCAGCAGTAAAGGGTTCTAAGCTTTCCAAAGCCCGGTGCTGGGACGCAGTGCTTGGTCTCCAGGCCTTCCTATGCACAACCTTTAGAAGGGAAACAGTTTACAAAGGAAAAGTGGGGATAGGAAGACCTGGGAGTGAAAATGAGCCCTGAGGGGCCTTGTCAGAAGCCGGCTCATCAAGGCCTGTCATCACAGGCTCAGAGTGAACAGGATGTGACCAGTGGCAGTGACAGGAAGGGAGGAGGGCATATGTCCCACAGTGGGGCTCGGGATGCTTTGTTGTTATATTTAGTGTTTTGAAAATAGATGGGAGATGAGGGGTAGAAAAAAGAGCAAGTAGAAATCCTGGTGTGGTGACACACACTGATAATCCCAGAGTCTAGAAGAGTAGAAATCCTGGTGTGGTGACACACACTGATAATCCCAGAGTCTAGAAGAGTAGAAATCCTGGTGTGGTGACACACACTGATAATCCCAGAGTCTAGAAGAGTAGAAATCCTGGTGTGGTGACACACACTGGCAATCTGAGTCTGGAAGTCAGAGAGAAGGAGGGGATTGTGAGCTGGAGGATGGTCTGTGCTACACACTGAGACCTTGTTTCAAAATGCAAATAAGAAGAAAGAAAAAGCAACTAGGAGAAAGTAGAGGGGGAAATAGTACAGTAGTCGTGAATGAGAGGATGAGATACTTGAAAAGTTACAAAGACAGAAGATTCAAAAATACCTAGTGGGATGTGGTGGTGCACACATTTGATCCAGCTCTAGGGAGCAGAGGCAGGAGGATGTCTGTGAGTTCAAGGCCACCCTGATCTACATAGTGACACATAGGCACATGTGTGGAGGTCAGAGGACAGCTTGTGAAAGGGCTCTCTCTCCTTCCACCACACTTTGTAGGGATCAAACACATCATCAGAATCGGTGGCAAGTGCTGGGTGAGCCATCTTGTTGGTTATGTGATGGTTATATAGGTACCTGTTGCCTAGCATATACCAGAATTTCTGATCTGATGAAGGAAAGTAGATATCCAGTGGAATGACATTGTTTATAGAGTGTCACTCTTTACTTTTTTGGCTTCGATGATCCTATCTCCCCTGCCAGTAACTCAACTATTGTCAAGAGCCAGTCTTGCAAACAGGCATTTCTGTGGATAGCAGCCTTCCTTAGGCTTGCTGTGTTAACCTTTGCATGCTATTTGTACTTAATGTGATCCTAGAAGGTGGGGAAGTGGCTAGGGGACTGTTGGGAAATGGGAGTTATATAGGCATGCTGTTTCCACTTTCCTTTAATACATTGAGAATTTTAAACTTTATTATTTTGTATATGTATGATGCGCATGTGTGAACCTGCTCATGCCATAGCATGTTTGTGCAGATCAGAGGACAACCCACCTTCCACCTTTATAAGGGTTCAGGGATCAAACTCAGGTCATTAGGCTTGCAAGGCAAGTGTCTTTACCTACTAACCCATCTTGCTAGGCCTAAACTGAATGGAAGATTTTTGTATATAAAAAAGTTGGCACAATGACAAATCACCCATTAAACAGAATGGCAAAGCTTATAGCAGGTTGCTTTTGTTTTTGTTTCTGGTTTTCTCAGCACTTTATGAAACCAGCCTCCTCTGCCTAACCCACTGGAACACACACAGAATTTTATGGAAAATTGTGTTACTTGATTCTCGAATTGCAAAGAAAGCCAATTAAAGGCATTGGATAGGCTGCAGTTCTGTCTGTTGCCACAAACACAATGTTGATGGGATTTGCAGTGGTGGAAGGTATTCTAGGTAGTGGGTGATGGTGACGTGGTGAGGGTACAATGGCCACAACCAAACAAGTGACAGTCAGAGTCCCATCACGGGTGGTGTGTGAGGGAGGGGAGGAGGGAATGGGTGTAGAGTTGAGTATTCATAAGGGAAGAGGTTATAGGACAGAGGGAAAGAGAGTATTGCTTTGGACTTTCCTAATTGGTTAAACTCCAGAAAATTAAGACAGTGAGAAGAACATTTTTCTCTGATCATGAGGTTCTGAATTTTTGTTTCGTTCTGTTTTTGTTTTCAGTTTTTTTTCTTTTTCCTTTTTTTTTGTTTTGTTTTGTTTTTGAGATAGGGTTTCTCTGTGTAGCTCTGGCTGTCCTGGAACTCACTCTGTAGACCAGACTGGCCTCAAACTCAGAGAGCACCTGCCTCTGCCTCCTGAGTGCTGAAATTAAAGGTGGGGGCCACCACCACCACCTGACTTCTAAAATCTTTCAATATCAGCTGAAAAGAATCAATTAAATGCTGACACGTTTTGCTGGGAATGAAAGCCGAGTTCCATGAAGTGGATCCTTTCGTATGTCAGCTGCAAATGGGATGTCCGCTTACCCACATCTCTGCCTAGCAGGGTATAGAGTCAAGGACTTCTATCCTTTGCTAAGTATCTAGACTGTCTCACATAGCTCAGGCTATGACTCATTTAGCATGAAGGTACAACCCGAGGAAGTGAACAGGGAGAGAGCATGAGGCAGGCAAACCACCCTCTCGGTACGTAACTGTCTTCAGCGACCTGGAAGCTCTCAGGTCTCTTTGCTTACAAGTTCTTATGAAGTTCAGCCTCTGGTCCTCCCCAGAGTCCCGTGCACGGGGTTGAAAATTCAGTCTTCTCTTTGCTCCATCCTTTTGGCCACCATCCTGTTTTGAAGCTGTCCTAGTCAGAAGAGGATTGCTATGGATAACAAGACACACCACTCAGGGAATTCTTTTGCAAAAGATGCTTTAAAAACAAGAGGATCCGTTTATTATTTCCATGTATGTGCACACGCCTGCATTACTTTATATGCACTGTGAGTGTGCAGGTGCCTACGGAGGCCAGAGACGGTTGAATTCCCTAGAACTGGAGTACAGAGCATTGTGAGCACCTGCTGTGGGTGCTGGGAACTGACCCTCTGGAAAGCAGTTCATGCTCTTAACTGCTGAGCTACTGCTCCTGCTCCCTTAAAACTTTTTTGAGACAGGTTCTTACTTTATAGCTCTGTCAGGCCTGGAACTTGCTATATGGACCAGGCTGGCCTGAAAGTGACAGAGCTCTATGTCTGCCTCTTGAGTCCTGAGATTAAAGGTGTATACTACCACACCTGGCCCCTTTAAATTCTTTCAAAAATTAGGTGTGTTTGTGTATAACTGTGTATGAATTTGTCACTTGAACGAAGTACTTGTCAGAAGAGGTCATCAGATTCCCTCCCCCATAGAGTTACAATCTGAGGCACCCCCAGATGGGTGCAGGAAACTGAGTCTGCTCCACACTCTTTAACTACAAAGTCATTTCTCCAGCCCCTACTCAGGATATTCTGAGGACTGGTTTTGGGCACTCTTGACAAGAACCAGAGACAAGGACCAAATCGCCTGCTGTACCCCCACTTGCAAGATAAAGACAAGGAGGACCTGAAGCTCACAGTCATCTTCAGCTCTGTAGGGAATTCAAGTGCTACCGAGACCTTGTGTAAATGAAGGTACGAAGGTACAGGTGAATGAAGTCTAAACTCTTGTATGTTTTTGTTTATAGCCTACACGGTCCAGACATCTGAAGGTGTGCGTCCAACAGCGGCTTCCGAGGCCCATTCAAAAGCTTTGGCTGTTTGCCGTGGACCTCTGGACCACTACGAGTTTCTGATTGAAGCCCAGGAGCTGCGGGACGACGAACATCAAAGAAGAGTCATTCAGTGTTTGCAGAAGTTATTGGAGGATCTGAAAGGATACAGCATCGAGGAAGAAGGGCTCTTCTCCAAGGTGAGGCTCGCACATCTTCTAAAATGGATTCAGTACTGGAAGGATGGTCCCGAAGCTGCCTTAGCTTGGTGGATCCCCGTTCCTGCCCTTCTGATAGTCTTTAGTCTTCGCTTACCGTCCCGGATTCAAACAGCCTCATAGTTACTAAATCCTGTAGCCCTGGCTAAAGGAAGCTTCCATGTGGGCCCTGTCCGCGTCCTCAAGCCTTGCCCTGGAATGTGGGGAGGGGGAAGGGCATATGCCTGTCTCCTCCTCTCCTCCTTTGCTTTGCTGTGCTTCTGAGGGCCAGGCGTAGGACGCCGGAGTAGGGAGGACAGCAGTCTTCGTAGGTGCTGCTACTAGCACTTTGTTAAGGGACACTCTGGTGGGTTCCAGAAGCCTCTCCTGGGGACTTTGATGCTGTCCTAGTCTTTGACTGCTTTCTTGTGACTGGGGAAACGCCTCCCACTCCTGCCTTTGGTTGAGCCCTCCCTTCTGCTCGCAGCCATTTTCCTTTCAGGGCGCTGTCTCTGGACCCCTTTTATGGGTCCATCAAGGCCGTGGGTACATAAAGTTTTGTTTCTACAACTCCTGTAGCACAGAGTGCTTTCGTTACTCTGGATTTCTTCGTCTCTTCTTCTTCTTCTTAAAAATCAAAACAAAGCAAAAACCAAAAAACGTGTGTCTTCTGCTTACATGCTGTGTACCACATGCCTGTGGAGGCCCGAAGAGGGCATTAGAGTCCCTGTAATTGGAGTCACAGGTGGTTATATCAGCCGGGTGGGTGCTGGGAACCGAACTTAGGTCCCCTCTAAGAGTGGCCAGTGCTTTTAGCCACTGAGCCACTCTTTGAGTCCCCAGCCTGGACTTCTGTGGGCAAGAAGACACCAGATTGGTTTTGTCCTGAATGCGGTTATATATTTCTGAGGGTTAATGTCAGGCTCACCCACAGGCTCTTCCTCCCCGCTGTGGTAGCTGCCTGTGGCATTCCTCATTCACCTGGGAGGGTGAGCTCGCTTCTCTTACTCTCAGCTTTGGATGCTTCTCCTAGGACCCCTCCCTGCATTCCTTACCCAGCTAACAACTTTCTGCCTTGGTCACTCTTTGGTTTTAAGACTGTTTTGCCTTTTTTTCTTATTAATTAACTAGTTAATTAACTAATTAGTGGACAGGTTCTTGCTGCGTAGACCATGCTGGCTTCAAACTCTTACACGTTTTATTTTTCCTTTTGGTGGGGATTAAACCCAAGACTTCACACATGTTAACTGTTGAGTACCAGGCATGCAACACCATGCCAGAGCTGCCTACTTTTTTCTTCCAAAGTAACCCCTTTGTGGGTGTAAGCTTCTCCTGGGGGCGGATGGAGCGCTTGCCTTCTGTTCTCTGCTTTGAGGTTTTGCTGAAATTCGGCCGCAGTAAGAAAATTCATCCTGTATCCTACTGTGGAAACCAGCATCATCAGATGAAGTGTGTTTAGTAGTCATAGAGCTATACACCTGAGAAATAGTTTCCCCTAACTGACTGACCCCCAGTCTGCTGCTTCCCATTACTCAACCATTCTTTCATTTAAGGTTGTTAGGAAAAGAGGCACTGGTGGTTTGTTTAAAATTCTGATGAGGGGTTGGAGAGATGACTCAGTGGTTATGAGCACTTTCGGCTCTTGCAGAGGACCCGAGTTAGATTCCCAGTACCCATGTAGGTGGCCACAACTACCTGTAACTCCAGTTCTGGGGAATCTGATGCCCTTTTTTCTGGGCTGTGAGGGCATCTTCTCACACATAGCATGCATTGGTGCAGATACAAACCTACAAATAAAAAAAACAAAAACAAAAACTAATCAAACAAAAAATTCCAACAGACAAAAACAAATAACTAAAAAGAGAAAAATCCAATGAAGGTAATTTTATTATTATTTATTTAAATTAATTTTTGTTTTTTAAAGACATTGTCTTACTATGTAGCCCTGGCCTAAAACTAGTAATTTTAGTTTTAAGAAGGATCTGGAAGGATTTGGGATGCTAGATCAGTGGTAGATATTACCTAGCATGCTGGAGACCCTGGCTTTCATTCCCAGTACTGTAAAACTTATGAATAATCAAACAAACCACAAAAAATGAAAAAAAAACTCACTTCCAAGTATTAAAAAAGTCTTACTTAAAAATATTTTTACTTTGTTACTTTACATATGTGGGTGTTTGCCTTCATGTGTGTCTGTTTACCACATGCATGGAGTGTCCTCAGAGGGCAGAAGAGGGCACCAGAGCCCCAGGAACTGGAGTTACTGATGCCGGTGAGCCTCAATGTGGGTGCTGGGAGTCAGACCAGGTCTTCTGGAAGAGCAGCCAGTGCTCTTAGCCACGCTCATGCATCTCTCCAGCCCCAAGGTCTTGCTTTTTATGACAATAAGAAGGCTGCCATTGTGTTAACTTGATGAAAAGGAATAATGAGTCCTCTGTGAAAAATAGGTATTGAATAAAAGATCACACATGAAAACAGTAAGGAAATACATTTCCGCCATATAATCAGGCTGCATGGTGCTTTGCCATTCATTTAACCCACTGTCCTGGGCATTTTAGGCTGCTACCACAAAATACCTTTAGCTGGAATAGTATGACAGCAGGAAATTATTTCTCGTTATGAGAAGCTAGGAAGTTCACAATGAAAGTGCTGACCAGCTTGGTGACTGCTTCTGCGCGGAGGACTTTTCTTTTTCCTCACGTGGTGAAAGGGTGAATGAACTTCCCTGGTCCTCTTTCATAAGGACATATTGATCCCCTCCATGATGAGCTGTGGTTTGGATGTGGCTTGCTGGGATATGGTCCCTACTGTGACTAAGAGATGGAGCTGTGGAGGTCCTTTGTCATTGAGGATGCTTCCCTCAAGGTCTGAGGTTGTTCTCACCAGGGTTATAAGGGTGACCCTGACTGCCAAGTCTTTTTTTTTTTTTTTTTTTTTTTTGGTTTTTCGAGACAGGGTTTCTCTGTGGCTTTGGAGGCTGTCCAGGAACTAGCTCTTGTAGACCAGGCTGGCCTCGAACTCACAGAGATCCGCCTGCCTCTGCCTCCCAAGTGCTGGGATTAAAGGCGTGCGCCACCAGCGCCCGGCTGCCAAGTCTTTCTTTGCCAAGTCTTTCTTTGTCTTAGGTTTTTTGTTTGTTTTGTTTTTATTTTTTTGAGATAGGATCCTTTGTATGCACAGTCGTGGTATGTGTGTTCATGTGTGTATGGGTGTATCCATGTGTGTCTAGGCTGTAGGTCAAAATCAGGACATTTAGTGTCTTCCTCTCTTTTCTCCTCCTCTCTCTCCTCTCTTTTATTTGGGACAGAGATGGGGGAGGAGGATGGATGACTATGTGGGCATCTGTGTGCCACAGTGTGCATCTGGAAGACAGAGGCAACTTGTGAGGGTATTTTATTTCCTTCTGTTATGTGGGCTCTGGGGACTGAACTCTGGTTATTAGAGTTGGCAGCAACTTCCTGTACCTACTGAGCCATCTTGCTGGCCCCTCACTGTATTTTGGAGACAGTGTCTCTCACTGAATATGAAGCTCTCTGATTGGCTAGAATGACCAGCTGGCAAGGATCCACCTGCCTCTGCTACCCCAGGCACACACCACTGTACCTTGCCATTTATGTGTGTGGTAGGACTCTGAACTCAGGATCACTTGCTTCTGCACAAAGTAGGTTACCAACTAAACCATCTCCTCAGATTCAAGACAGGGTTGTATATGTAGCTCAGGCTGGCTTTGAGCTCAACATGTAGTTGAGGATAACCTTTGAACTTACTTTCCATCCTCCTGCCTCTCTCTGATGAGTGCTAGGATTATAGACTTGTCCTATTGTGCCTGGTTATGCATTGCTGGGCGTCAAATTCTGGTGGTGAAGCATCCTAAGCAAGTGTTCTTCTCACCACACCTCAGCAGCCTCTGTAGTGCTCCTGATGCAGACTACGCCTCTCTTGCGCTTCTGTGATGATGCCATCCGTCATGTGGTGAGGCAGTAGCCGTGCTTTCACCAGAGCCAGCGCCATGCAGTTTTGATTTGCAGCCTTCAAAATTGAGCAAAATAGACCTTTTAAAAATGTTAGCCCATCGCAGCAATGGCATTATAGGACAAAACCATCTAAAAGTGACACTGTGGCACACATCTGGATATTCTAGTATTTGGGAGGCACAAAGGAAGTTGTATAGAAAGTTCTAGGCTGCCTGCTATCTGAGACAAACAACAAATATACAAACACAGCATCAACAACAACAAAAGCCAAGCAAGACAAGACTTATACCTGAAATTTCCCTATCATCAAACAGCACAGATGTTCAGATAGAGCTTGCACTGACTCTGTTGTTTCCTTCCCTCTTGTTCCCTGTGTGTATGTGCACATACATGCACATACAGGTGCTTGTACACATACACTTGTGTGGAGGACACAGGTCAGGGTTTGATTGTCTTTCTCGGCTGCTTTCTGTTTTACGGCTCTAGCTAGGACCTGGAAGAATGGGGCCTGAAAGTGAGGTGCTCTGAAGTCTCCTGCAGTAGCCAGTGTTATTCAGAGCATCAGACAGTTCATACTTTGAGAGTTAAACAGTCACACAACCAAATGTACAATCACAAGGACAAGCCCTACGGGGGGGGGGGGGGGAGGGGCAAACATGTTTCTCCATAGAAGCATATAAGCCAGTTGCAATGAGTAGTCTGAAGTAAACTCAGTGTTGTGCACCACCCCGAGAGGGGTACACAAGTGCATTCTAAGAACAACTCCCTGTTGTGAAGAGACTGAAGTCTCATGACTCTTCTTGGAATTTTCTTGAAAGCACTCAGAAACCCCCCCCCCACTACTTCATGCTTGGACTGTGCTTCAACAACTCCCACCCCCTTTCTTTTTGAGACAGGATCTCTCCCTGCAGCTGGAGTTTGCCTGTTGACTGGACTAGCCCCCGGGGATCATCTGTTTCCACCTCCCTAGCACTGTCCTTACAGACGTGGAGTGACGTGCTGGACTTCTTGTATGGGTTCTGTGTGCTC